ATTTTTATCGACTTTGTTAGCCATATTTTTATAGATTTTGTTATCCATATTTTTATAGATTTTGTTGTCAATATTTTTAGATATTTTTAAATAGAAAAAAAACGCAAAAAATATAACCTTAAGCAAAGGCAGATGTATGTATTTAGATATGTATGTATGTATATTGGTTATGATACAAATTAGATATGTAACGTAAGTTTCACTTCTCCAGTATGGCCCCCTTTTACTTTAAATTGTGTTTCTTTAATAAACTTTCATATTCCGAAGTTATCGGGGATCATAATGTTTCGATAATTTGAATTGGCTCTGCAATCATTAGTACTTATTACCAAGGTTTGACCATAACGAGCCCTAAGCGCCAAAAGGGCGTAAGCGACAAAAACTAAATTTTTCAGTAGGCGTTTTTTTTATTACGTTTGATGTTAGGTATATAATACTGATGGTTTTATTTGCCCATCTTTGATGTAAGGGGTGATTTTGTCGCGTACGATCAATTGCGGCGGCATTTTTTTACAATAACAAAAACCATTTTGATTGCTGGTGCTTTTGGTAGTATCAAGGCGAATTTATATAAGGTGGTGTTACTAGCTCAGCTGATTTTGTGTATGTGTTTCGCCGCACGGCTTCTGATATCAAAATGAAAAATTTTGTTTGAATTTCTGCACACACTCTTATAGATTTTGACAGTTTATGCCGCCAAAGCAAAAACAAAATACATGTAAATGTTTGTTTTTGTACTCCTGCTATCACCTTATATTAATTCGCCTTGGGTAGTATGTAATCAATTTCTGTCAAAAACATAAAATCGAACATTTTGTCGCTTACGCCCTTTTGGCGGTTAGCGCTCGATATATCGAGTTCGCAAATTTTGATACGCGTCCTACCACGCTTCTTCTTCCAATTATGAATGGGGATCTGATGTTTTCACATATTTGAAGTGATTTACAATTTCACATAAGGGCAAATGGTTTTTAGGAAGAGCGTTTTTTCAAAGCAGCAATACACCCCAAGCTACGCCATTGCCGGCTGAAGGGCGGCCGCTATTAGAAAACTTGTTTCTACCAATTCTACAACTCTACTCACTTTCTACGAAGGCCAATGGGCGAGTGAAATAAATGAAATAGTGTTCTGCTTTTTTGGTCTCCCTGTATGAGGTTAACCGAATAGTAACCCAGTCACAACCTTAGTAAAATTAACTTCTCATAAATGTAGGGACCTAGAAGTTTTAGTCTCCCCGGCCAAGGAATTGAGTTTGAGTGAGAAAGTCGCGCCCAATTGATTATTATTATATAAATTGGAGTACAGGCACAAGTAGCACAACTTGAAACAACACGAGGGAACGAACACCTAGGGTATTCGATAATTCTCGCCAACGTAGCAATTCCTGTGTGCGAGAAAAACCCTAGTCACTTCTTTTATTTTATTTCCCTCAGTCATTGACGCTGCCAGTAGAGGCCTCATACCACGCACTCACAGCCATATATATGTACATACATATAGAAAGTTCGTTAGATAAGTACCACCTCGTGCAAGGATAAGAATGAATATTACAACAACAGGAACTACAATGATAATATCAAAGTTAAACAACAACAAAAAAAAACTAGCAGAAGAATGGAATCTTGCTAACAACCACGCCTCCGCTGAAAAAAGAGCAGCAGCGCTAAGAACCTTAGCAGCAGCGCTGCTACCACCACCAGCAGAAATCGATGGTAGCAGCGTGGGTGGTAATGCTAGCTGGTAAGTAAAGAGGAAAAAACGAACCAAAGCCAACAGCAGCCGCAACAACACCAATACATACATATCAGCAGCAAGTACGAAAAATGGCAATATGTACATATGTATGTATGTACATACTTTATTTAAGCTGTCATTTTGGCAGAGAAGTTTGAGGTAGCAGCAGCAACGCCGGCCATGAAAGCAGCACAGAAGAGGAACCTACCGAACCATTCGTCGTGGTAGCAGCAAAAGAATGGCAAGCTCATGGACGTTGCAGAGGATTTTTCGTACCTTTTACTTTCTTGTTGTTGTTGGCATGGCTGCTCATTGTTGTTCTTGTGTTTTATTGATGTGCGTTATTGTCGCTTATACACATCTGTTTGCCTACTTAAGGCGTATATGTACATACATTACGTTGTTGTTGTTGCTGTTTTTGCTGCTGCAAATATTGCAGGGCTGACTGCTTGTGATATGAATGAGAAAAAGAAAAAAATATTCAGAAGGAAGAAGCAGCAATGCAAATGGCTTTTGCTTTTATGAAGCACCAATCAAGCATGGTAATGGAACCGTCGAAAACGAACCGAAGGACACGCATTACTTATTTGCAATAGGAGTAGAGGAAAAATCATCACAGCCGGCGTAAGCGCTGATTGCAAGCTGCTATTGAGTGGGCATTTCCATGACTAGGTGCTCTTATCTTCTGCGCCGCTGATTAATCACCTTTTTAACGCGTCAGTGTAGGCTACGCCATTTTTATACGCACCTACTACAATCGCTGATAGCCTTGTTATAGTTGCATTTAATGCTACGCTAGCGCAGTACTTGCAGTTGTTGTTTTAATAATACATTTTTAGGCTGGAAAAGCAATTAAGGTAAAAGCTTTGGAATTTTGTGGTAAGCCTTGTGCATGAGTTAATGAAACGCGCAATGCAAAAATAACAAAAGTTGTGAAAAGTATTCGTTCGCCCACTAACAACGTTGACGCTGGGACAGTAAAAACGCGACGAAGACCGTCAATGGAAAGCGTAGTAAAAGGATGCCGTAACAGCAGCTACCAGCAGAATGTGTCAAGGCAAGCTTTGTAGGTACACACTAGCATCAGCTCAGAGGCGTTTGCACGTTGCGACACCACTCTTTTAGGTTAAGTACCTAACTAATTTCAGGTAATTTTTTGCATAGACGTGGCCAGCAAATGAAAATTGGACAAATATTAATGTTCATAGGTGCTTCCGACTTTCATTTGCTATAACGCCTTTACGCACACATACATATGTACATTGTATAAATGTGCGTACGCACGTCGTTCTGCTCCTTGCCCATCGCTAACGCCACCGCCGCAGTTTCGTCAACCAAACCAGCACTACACATATACGCACTTTTTACCAGCTGCTCGTGCTGCTGCTGCCGCTGTTGGCAGCTGGCTTTTAACCACTGACTGGCATTCGCTAAGTGGGTAAATAGGGCGTGCGCGGAGTGTGGGCCGCAGTAATGGCTGCTACAACTTTTCCTAACTCACTTTTGGCTGCCGTCGCCGCTGTCACCTCCACGCAGTTTCCAACACTTCTTCAACTACTATACACTTGAGTTTTTTTCTCGTTTACCTTTTCACGCAAATATTTGCACACACACACACA